CAATAAGCCCTAACAGAGTCAGAGTTCTGTTCCTCTGCTGCTTTCTCAATGGGAGAAGAGTGTTCTTAATGAGGTATCAATTTGTAAAGAGAATGCTCCCCCAAGAAAAAAGAAAAAAAAAAGAAACAGAAAGGGATAGGGAAAAGAGGAAAAAGAGTAGAAAGTCTGCTGAGCAGAGGTGTAAACTGACCAAGTCCTTGTCTCACTAGTTCAGCTATGCTAAGAATGCAATGTCAGGCCTAGAAACTTGTGGCTAGATAGGTCAGAGGCCACTGGGGAGAGTCTATTACTATTATTCTACTAAGTAGACACAGTATTAAACTGAATAACTTATTGTCATACCCATAGATTAATGCATCTCTCAGCTCTCACCAGAGAAGCTTTGTCATTCACCAGATGGTGATTAACACAGAGACCCACAATGGACCAACATACCAAGAGTAAGAAGCTGCAACATGCTTGTCCTTGAATAGGACACCTGTATCAAACTTCTGCCTATCAAGGTTCAGGGATCATTGTGGAAGAGGGGGTGGAAAGATAGTAAGAACCAGAGGGGGTGGATGATCACAAGGAAGTAAGCTGGGCAGTTACTCATATGAACTCACAGCAATGGTGACAGCATGCATAAGTCCCACCTAAGCTCAAGCCAGACAAATCCCAATATAGATGTGGGGAGATGAGTAAGAAACTCCAGTGTTACCTGAGGAGCTACTGGCAGCCAAAGGCTACTGGGAGAGAGTAAATTTTCTTTAAAAGTGTGATGCTAAATAGGTTGGTCAGCTTCCAGTGGATGGAACCACATCAAAGGGCATTTGGGGACACAGGTTTGACTAGCTAGGTCTTTTTAAACACACAGACACACAGACATAGAGACAAAGACCCCCCCCCCCCAGAGTACATGAAATCAGGTAGGGAGATATCGAGGGAGGGTGCAGACAGGGAGCAGAATCTAAATATGATCAAAATATATTGTATGAAATTTGCAAAAATTCAATAAAAATGAAAAAAATGCAATAAAGCTGGGCATGGTAAAGCATGCCTTTAATTCTAACATTCAGGAGGCAGAGGCAGGTCGATCTCTGCGAGATCTAGCAAGTTCCAGATCAGTTGAGGCTACAAGGAGACCCTGTTTCAACAAAATAAAAGAGAAATAAAATAAAACAAAGAACAAAAATGCAATAACGTTTGAAAGGTCAAAATATAACCACACTCATCTTCCTTGGCAAAGCAAAGGGCACAGGTAACTTCCATGCTTTCACTGGGTATCACAGGACCTGGTTCAAAATTCAGTTCGATCAAGTCCCAAACTCTCAAATTCACATCCTCCAGCCACCAGGTAAGTAGCCTTATCATTTAGCACTGTTATTATGGAAATATTTTTGGTTTATCTTCTTCCATTGGACTATAAATGTCTGAAGGACAAAAATGTTCCTGCTGTTCACTACAGAACTTGGTACTCAGAACACACCTGTTGACCAGTGCTCTGCAAAAATCAGCTCATGAACAGAACAGTGATTTATGCCAGGAATGAAGTCTGAGTATAAATATTTAAGATAGGCTATGGACATAAAAATCCACTGTGATTCTAATAAAAATCATATTTGTTCTTCTACACAGGATTATAATTTTAATCCCATCACACACTCATAAATTTGATCACGACTTTTGATTTTATGATTATCTATACAAAATCCTCTGGAGCAGACCTACAAGGTTTCGAAGTTTAACAAAGGCACAAGGAATCCTAACATTCACATTCTATTCTGAGTGTGCCCTTTCATGTCTGATTTATGCAGGAGACTGTGTTACACCATCACTTTATGGAAAAATTATGACATTCTTATAAATGTCTATTTATTCAAAATACCTTTTGGCAAAGCAGTCTTCAGGCAACATATATGATTCAGCCCAAATGAGGACTGAACAGTTTTTAATGCTCAAGTTGTAAATGTGAAATACACAGAAAGATTTATGACTAGTTTCCTCCTATGCCTCATAACCAGACTGAACAAGTCCAGATTGTCTGAATATCCACAAGATGAATCTTTGCCCTCATTTTGGCTTAAGTCACAGAAAGCGCTTTAGTGGCTTTTTAACACCACGGTTTTACTCTACTCCTCCCCTCAACCCTACATATATTATTTGACTTTATTACTTTAGTCTGAAAAAAGTCAGGCTTTACTAAAGATAAAATATGTCATATAGGACAATGTACTAAGTTGCCCCAGCACTTGAGTCTAACACTTTTTGGAAAGTACTCTTAAATGTAGAGGGGAATTTAACTGAAACAGTCACTGATATATTAGTGGCTAAAATGTGTCTCAAGAGCAGTATGTTTACCAAGGAAGGAAAAAAATAATAGTTCTGACCATGTTCACAGTTCTCGGATGCCATATTTTTGCATGGCACCAACTTCGTCTATCTTTATTTCTTGAACACTGGATCTAAGAATACCATGTCATAACGCTATAGAGAGAAAGCACTCCGGATCTCTCTAAGGATTCTTATCTAACACTCTCTAGGCCAAGGTCATTATTTTCAGTGGCTGTGACAGCGTGGATAATGGTAAGCAGACTCACATGAGAGACTGATGCTTAGTCTTTCATCCTTCCTGCACCCCTCACAAGAGTCAAGAAGGAAGTCTTCAGTTTGTAATCATTAACTCAAGAGTAATCCAGAATTTCCAAAATGCACACCCAATGCTTGAGTATTCCTTTCAGATGATAAACTGCTAGAACACTTAAAATCATTTTGAGTGCTAAGAAATCTTTTTAGACTGGATCACTTCACGTTTATTTTATTAGTATTTTCATTTCATATATAAGAACTACTTTTTACTAAGACCTTGGTAGGCTTAGGAAAAGGTTTAAGTCTTTGCAAAGGTTATTTTGTTCAACCCTCAAAACAAGCCTAGAAAGCTCTTATCTCCAATGAAGAAACTGAAGAGCAGAGGTGTCTACTGAGGGCCAGACACTTGGGGTGCTCCCTTTGGGGTGCTCCCAGAGGCTATTTTCCTCTTTTACGTCCTGTTGCAGCGGTGACCAATTCTGCTCTACCACACCTTCCTGCCATGGTGTGCTGCCTCTCACAGGCCCAAAGCAACAGAATCATGGAAATTAATTCATATTTCAGATACACCTTACATAGGCAGAAGGTGATTTTCTATAGTATTTTGGGGTGCCTATGCCAGGGCTGCAATTTGTCACCTGAGGTCTGGTGTGAGGTTTTTCACTTGTGGCATCATCTTGGTGCTTAAAACTGTGACCCAAACAAATCTATCTTTATTAATTAATCATTTCAAGTACTTGGTTTAAGTGATAGAAAACCAACATGGTTCATCTGCTGGTTGATACTTCCCTAAGGTAACTATGGGAGGGCTGAAGTATGCCATCATGTGGTACTGTGCAACAGAATACCACCGTGTCTAGCATGTATGAGCTCCTTCTGCCCTCTGTCCCTTTGGAGGAGCCTATGGGTTGGCTATTTTTCATAATTATTAACCATCTTCAGGAACTCCAGACAGTTGACTTTCTTCTTTCCTCTCCAGCTTACTACCGAGACTCACAACGGACTCATCTATCTACCCTTCTTTAGCCTGGAGGAAAGGGGCTTGTACGGCTTGTACCTACAGGAAGAAAAAAAAATGGTTTCTTCTTTTCTCTTTGAATCATTGAGGGAATGCCCAAAGCTACAGAGACATGATAATCCAAGGCCTGAGGGTCACCTGGAAGTAAGGGAAACAGAGTCACCCCACCATGCTGTCCTGGCCATGCCATCATCGTGCATGGCTCCTGGACTAAGGAGGAAAGGTGATGGGAGTGTAGGGATGCTACTGAGATGTATGCTGTGAGGGAGGAGGCACCGCAGGGACAGCGGGGCCAGGAGATAGTAGGAGGTCTCAAGTAGCTTCCTTAAAGGATCAAAGGAGTTGGCTACCACTACTGGATGCTGTATGAGCCTTGCAGACCTGTGTTCTCATCAGGATGACACCATGGGGAGTAAAATCTGGAATGCTGTGAGCACTGTGGAAATAAACACCTATGGAACTATCCTTCCAGGTGTGGTTTGGGGATACTTTGAACTTCATTTGAAATATGTGAATATATATTTCTGAACAGAGCTAATAATAGCAGTATCTGCTAGGTTGATGATCAGCCATTAGCTATAAAAAACATGTCATTCCCACTGCTCACCCACCATTTGTCTAAACTAACATGGAACAAACCTTCAAAACATTTCTCCTTATTAAGATGGGGCTGATTCCTCACCTTTCCTCCATTCTCATCCCTAAACTGAAATTAGAAGAATCAGTGAGATACACTAAGCTCCTCTCATCCAAAACTTCTACAAAACCATTGGCTTCAATCCTAAAAGCTGACAGCTCTCACCACATTTTGAAAGAAATAGTATTGGGTGGGGTGCATCAAGTTGTGGTGGGTCATGTCCTTGAAGGCTGGGCAAGAGAAGAACTAGAATGGGAATGTGAGTCAAACCAACCAGTGTCTGAGGAAACAACCCCCAAATGCCATGTGTATGCTAGGCAGGTGCTCTACTACTGAATCATAGATCACTACATACTTTAAAACAGTTTTGTTAAGACTTTTCAGTTTGAAATAACCTGGAATACTGCTATAGTTTATTTCTCTGCTCTTCTAAATAGTTTAGGGAGTTTATACCATGGATACTGCCTCAAAATGAATTGAAAAGAACATGCATTTCACTGAAAAATATCTAGTTCTACCATTAAGTGCGCTTGATGTTTCTTGAAGTGCAATGTGTTTACAAAGAGATGCCACCCTTGTATCAGGACCATTCTTTAGAGATGTAAAGTATCAGAACAGTGTGCAGGTGCAAACAACCAAAGCACTCACCTTAGAGCTAAGCAAAGATTCAAGATGTGGGGCTTTTTAGCATGAAAACTCCAACTACAATGCATTTCAGATTTAAATTCTTGGTGTTTTCCTTATTTCCTTAGAATTTCAAATGAAAATAACACTCACCAACCAAAACAACAAGCCTGTATTTCTCATGAGCCTGCCGTCGGTATGTAGACACTTCTTCATACGTGGGTACATCTGCCGTGTCGTACTGGTCACTCTTTTTGCACTCATACATGGATTTATTTGTTTTCTTATCTTTTCTGCTAAGACGGAAACTTCTTCTAAAACCAGCTACAAATCAAAATACATATATATTTAGTAAATATCTTTGTATATTTTTAACTAAAAATTAGAATTCCCCAAACTAAATATTAAAAAACTTAAGATTCAGTTGGGGACATAGCTCAGTGGTAGAGTGCCTATTATGTGTGAGGACCTAGCTCCGATCCTCAGTACCACAAAACAAACAAACAAAAACTCCAAAACACAACAAAACTCAACATCAACAAATAAACCTTCACCAAACTGGGTCATATTTTATTCGTCATAATATTGCTATAAAGTGCCTTAGAGAGAAAAATCAGATACTACACAATTTCATCAAAACAAAAATTTTAAAGGTCATTATTTAATGATTATGAAGTTATAATACATACTTTATTTGGTATTAAACACAATGAGCTCTTTTCAGAAATCAGAAAAGTGTAACTGTAAAATAAAGCAAAATAAATCAGAAACCACAAATGGAATTTGCCATGGATTAATCTGTGAATGTATTTGATAAGAAAAGTTAAAAACACTTGTCAATGCATTTTAAATACAAATTTTAATTTCTGTAGCTCATAAATATTTGAAAAACTTTTGGTTGTTTTTCTGAGACAGGTCTCGGTGTGCAACCTAGGCTGGCCTTGAACTCCTTCCTGCCTCAGCTCTGGAGGGCTGAATTACAAACATACCTGGGTTACATGAGACCAAGTCTCAAATAAAAGGAAGTGTAGCAGTCAAAGAGAAAATACAGAATTATGCGACATACCTGTGGAGTCGGAATTTAATAAAAAGCATCAGTGAAGATATTAGGAATGGCTTAGTAGACCATTCGCCACTCATCAAAGAAGCTTCTTTTTGCAATAGAGGAGACTATTACAGAGTTCCACAACTGGTCCCTACATTGAGATTAAGTGTCTGTGAGATGTTTAGGCCTACATGACAAATCTACAATGGAACTTCTACACCTAAGGCTCACTGAACATAAGTGGGACAAGGGGCAGAGAGAATACTAATGCATTTCTCAACTCTCATCAGCAAAGCTTCCACATCAAAGAGTGTGATGTACACAGAAGGCCACAACTAGCCAAACTGTAGAGAATAAAAGACTGCAGAAAGCACATCCCTGGATAGCATCCCTATATTAAATCTCACCCATCCATGGCTCAGGGAGCACTGCGGAAGAGAGGGCAGAAAGACTCTAAGAGTCAGGGTTGGTGCATGAACAAGGAAATGGAATCTTCCAGGCCTCTGGGAACTCACTCATATGAACTTACAACAATGGTGACAGAATGCACAAGAGCATGCAGACTATCAGACAAAAACCGACCATGAACTGCGGAAATGGGCAGCAGACTCCAACCTTAGCTAAAGAACTACTGACAGCTGATTACTGCTAGGTGACAGAGAGCTGATCTTCTTTTGGGAGGCCACAGGCTCTGTATTTGAGTGTGGACTTTATGGCACAGTGGTAAATATGGGGCGCCCACTCTTCTGTAAATAAACCCCTACCCTATATTCTGTTAAAAAAATAATTAATATTTTTAAAAATTCAATAAAAATATACAAAAAAGGAATGGTTTAATCAAGGTTAATCTCATAACCCATTTCTGTGACTCTCTAACAGTAACTGATTTTGAGGTGATCCTAAGTTATTTGAGAGAAAAGGTCATTTACAAAGGATTTACAATCAGGAAGGGAGTCTCATAGCTCCCTTACAGAGGTAAAGAGGAGGAATAAACAGGACCAGTCATGAAATCCACTGGTGTCTCATAAAAGGCTGAAATTCATGGGAGACAAATGGGGAGGTACCACACCCTGGTCCTGGCAGGGAAGGTACAAATTCTAACCATTGGTGTTAAAGAATGCAAATTCTGTGAGAGGGCCAAAGAAAAAGTCATAGGTGACCCTTTGTTCCCTGATCCCTAGGACACTGAGATTGGCAAGAACCTGGCCCAAGTATTCCTTCAACAGCCTTGCCTTTCCAACAAGGAGCCAGAGGGGAACCAAGATACTTATCAGGATGCCAATGTGCTAGCATTAGTGAAGCAGTCTCAGACCAGCATCTCTGCCCAAACATGTGGAATCTGTGCTCTGTCCTCCAATTCTGTCATCTCTGATAGGAATCCAGGGTGATGGGACTTGTGATTTACCATAAAAAACCCACACTGTCTAATCCAACTAGTAAAGGTGGAAGGCTGGTGTTTCAGTGTGTTCTAGCTGCAGGTTCCCACAGGCTGTGGCTCCTGGGAGACAATCCCAGGCTAAGCAGGTAGAACCATACTCTACTTCACAACTCTTCCTGGCATGGAGGGAGGAGTTTCTTGAAGTCACTAGAAATTTTAGGAACATGCATCATCCAAAGCAAGTAAGTCCCCAAGTAAAAATGGGAGAAGTTTCTGGTCTTCAAGTTACAACTAAATCTTTAAGTGCTCGCCTAGTTGGGTCTTTCTAACTTACTGAAGTCTTTACTTCCATCATAAATAGAAGATCGAGAGCAGAGAAGAGGAGGAGGCTTCTGGACTTCTAAAGTGAGGATAAATGAATGGAAAATGAAGACCATACCCAGCAGGATGGGTGATAACAGTGTTCAATACAGAATAGGTGCTTGATAGAATTTAAAAAGGCAGCAACAGCAACAAGTATACTACCATGCTGTTTCACCTCTGCAAATTTCAGCTAAGCAGGACACAAATGGACTCTTCACCAGAGCTGAAGTTCCAAAAGGCAGACAAAGGGTAGAACTCTGTATGGAAAAGGTCTTAGAGCTAGAAGTAACCCTGGAGGTCACAGGCATGTGGCCAGTCACTGTCATTCTCGAACTCAGTCCTACCCTATAGGTATCTGGAAATCATGATGTGGAATACTATGGAAAGGATTAGTGTGTAGCAATTATTCTTTCTTTTTATATTTTTAGATTATCTTTCTAGGAATGCATACTATTTTTGTTTTGTTTTTGGTCTTTTTGAGACAGGGTCTCCCTGTTGCCCCAGCCGACCTGGAACTCACTATGTAGACCAGGTTGGCCTTGAATTCACAGAGATCCGCCTGCCTCTGCCTCCCAAGTGCTGGGACTACAGGCGTGCACCACCATGCCTGGCAATGCAGGCTATTTTTGTTGTCATACTTAAATTCAAAGTGTTCTTCCCTCCTGCCTTATGATTTTAAAGTTATTCTCTGCACCACAAAGGCCTTGTATATTTACATACCTATTTTATGTACATATACTCATATGTATTGACACACTCTGCACAAATGTGTACACACACACACACACACACACACACGCAAAGTAAGAAAACAGGAAGAAAAATTTCCAGCTCAGAACAACCAATACATAACAAAAGCTATGAAATCAAAAGTCATTATTTGTGAGATATTTTTCAGACAAAACACCAAAAATGAAAAACCGAAACAAACAACCCCCACCCTTCCAATTCAGCTTGTTTTCCTAGAGTCTGTCCCTCACAGCCTGCAGTGGGAAACAACTTGTCTGTCAATGCCTGACGGCCAAGACCATGCTTCAAGGAGACTTAATTCTATCTCAAGAAAAGGGACTCAGGGAGTAATTTCATGACTTTGGACTTACTTGGTTTTCTTATTAGAAGAAACCTAAAAATTGTGAGCCTAAACGGAAAGGGAGCAGAGGACGTTTAGACAAATGTGAATTAGTAACCCAGCATCTGGTTTAAGCTCTGAGTGTGGATGCTTAGCAGCAAGGATGTGAGAACAGAAGAAAGAAACACCCAAGGAACTGGGAGCAAGGGGACAGTTTTACACCAAATATGTTTTCCTTCTGTTTCACGTTTTTGTAAGTTATAACTGGCTCAACATTTTGATAAACAGGTTTGTTTCCAGCGAGCTTACCCACAGGTGCTACAGAGCTGCATCGGCTTTGAAAGGAACCACAGGTTTATTACAACAGGAAAATAACATGAGGGTAGGATACAGCTGAGGACAGCCCACCACTGGGAGACAGCTTATCTAGTGCTCTTCAGTGGCGACGATTCACAATGACTTGCCAATTTAGCCTCTAGTGCTTTAGCTTTGCTTAAAGACATTCACTGGGAAGGGCTACTCTGAAAACTTCCTGTTATCCAATATCACTAATCAATATAGCCCTGGGTACAGCTATATGAGTTACCATGGTTTCATGAGGACACACCGCTGGAAGCCAGACTCCTTTTGCCCATCACGCCTTAGATGCGTTAATAGCAAGACCTACTTCCCTAGAAACTTCTGATCACTTCTTTAAAATCTTCAGTAATTCAGCAAGGGTAAAACAGAACAGCACTGTTATTTATTTTTGTGTTCATCTCTCATTTGCCTTTCCTGTTCCTTCTGTGAGTGGTTGGTTAGTGCCCACTGATCATGCTTGGGATCAGGCCTTCATGAACACACACACATGTACATATTTCAGAAAGGTGATGAGCCCCTTTCCCCACGGTCTAACTATCCCTTTTAATTAATCTTAAAGAGAATGTAAGTACTTCTGGTTTCTGAGAATGTAAGTGCTTCTGGTTTCTGCCACTGCTTTAATGACTCTGCGGTTCTTAGGTCTGATAAATATGCTGCACTTTCTTAAGTTTTTAAAAATGGGTTGCATGGCTTTACACTTACTTTTTTTCTTTAATCCCATCTGGAATCACTCAGATGCAATCATGAGATCAAGACTGTGAACTGAGACCATAATTTTCAATGTTTTCTAAAAATTAACCAAAGATCCTAGAAATGTGAACAGCTCCTTTACAACTTCATGTCAATATACATGTGCAGAAGTTTCACAACGTTTATTATGTCGGGACAGATAAAAAGGATTTCTTGGTCTGAGCTGCACTCAATTTCTTGATAGTATCAACACTAAAAAATGTTTTCAGAGGGGGTAGCAGACGGTATTTACTGAGAACTTCCTAGATGACGGGCAGTACTCAAAGTGCTTTATGTGGATTAATTTATTTAGTTTGTCCAGCGACTCCGTGAGGGAGTTCAGGTGTTCAGGTTGACTTTCACTGCAATAAAAAGTGATG